CCTTGCGAACGGTTTCTTTTCTTTGTGCATATATGCTTTGCAGAGCCGGTAGCAGCAAGAGAACCGGTTTAAACTCACCTAGCAAGCAAGTTGGACATCGGATTCATGCCCTTTGCGAGGTTTCATGCATTCACCAGTCTTTCCTCACATTCCCTGTTCGACAAGGTCAACAGAAGGGTGAGGGCAGCCACATGAGGTAGATGAGTTCTTCGTCCCATTCCTGGTACGCAGGATTGACGGAAACTGGTTATGTGCATTCGTCTCACGGATCGTATGACCTGACGTGACTACGATCTCACAATCGTTGCAAACAAAATGCAGCGGGTTCTCGACCATCAGGACGTTTATGAAAACTCTATGATGTCCCCTGTTCGATCAAGTCAACGAAACGCATGAACGACAAATTGAAGAAGAAGTGTTCCTCAATGCTGTCTTAATATTAAAGGGTTCGTACGTGGTATTAGAAAATGCCTATATTCATTCATTTCACGCACCGCTTATTGGACCCAGAGAATTCATTTTTACGATGTTTCGTAGACTAGATATTTTTTGCCGCGCATATGAAACTGCAGGTCGCGGTGTGGCTCAATGCTATTGCCTTGGGTGCCTGACAATAATGGTTTTTTGAAGTATAAGGCGTTTCATAGCTTTTTCTTCAATCCATCAAGTCGTCGAAGCGCAAGGACAGCAGCAACTTAAGGAGGACCTGGTGGTACATGAAACTGGTAGCATCTGATTATATTCCCATCGCTAGGGGTCATCTTACCAAAAGTCACGGATGCCGTACGGCCTTCTTCGCACTGCTTGATCACATGGCATCTGGCATGTCCCTCGCTTAGCGTGACCCACGGAAAATGCGCAGAGTGCCAGTCAAATCTAGTATCAGTGGAAACTCCGTTGACTTCATCCCATAAATCACATCCCAGTAATATCGTGCTCGTGCTCGCGGCTCTACCGCACACTCGAGGAATGGAGAGGGTTCATGCCTTCCCCTGTCCACCACATGCGAATGTTCGACATGCGCCTGCGGGTGTGAGTAAAGATCAACCCGTGCGTACGGCAGGGGGGGGGGAGGGGGAGTTTGGAAAAATACCGAGGCGGCTACCTCACAGCATAGACGTTAAGCACCATCGATCCGATTTTAGATTGCCGAGAGAAAACGATGATCGATTCTTCGCAATTGCAAATCAGAAGGGACTCATCGGAAGCCAGCAGCAGCTGTTTCGTCACCGTATGCAGCAACAACAAAGATGACAGTATGTTGCGTGAGACAAAGACCCACTTGAGAGCAGACTGAAAGGTCACGTGTGCCTGCTACGAACTACTCCAACTAGGCGTATGGTACTTGTTGCTCAGTTGTTTGGTATACGAACGGAAAGTGGGTGGGAATTTCCCTCCGTCCTGCCCCGATGACTGAGATTTGCCTCGATTTCGAGTCCAATACGTTGCGACGTGTACCGCATGCATGTCCGCTGATGAACGTTCATGCTGGCGCTAAGGACAGGCGATGGGGTTCATCCTCACCACTCCTCGCGTTCACACGTGCCGTTGCGAGCGACCGCGACTGTTCCCCTTTTCGGACGCAATGAGTGACGAGTTGAACTTCAGGATTATCTCGATATCGTCCATCGCTGGCACTCAACCTCAGCCGCAGCCCTGTGAATGGACTTCGCTGCGTTTCGAAGCGATGTTTTGTGGATCGTGATCGTTGCGTTCGTAATCGCTTTCGTGCTGTCGTTCGCCATCGGTGCCAATGACACAGCCAACTCGTTCGGCACCAGCGTCGGCTCCAAGGCACTCACCCTTCGACGGGCGTACATCTTGGCGACGATCTTCGAGTCACTCGGCGCACTGCTACTCGGTAAGAATGTGAGTGCCGCGTTCCGTTACTACACTTATCGCTGTGTAACTGACCTGAGCATCAGAGTGTTCAACGTTCTCTTTGTGAACTGTACTGTTTGTCACATGCTTTTTGAAACTTGATTTCGGAACGTTCGAAACTACTACTGAATGTCTGTCCGATCGATGGAACGCTGTCTGCCCCAGCGAGCATGCTGCGACGCCGCTGTCAAACTGTATAATATCGATATCGATGATTTTTGCTTTATCTAAGGGTTCCATCGCGATGACCACGCAATCATATAATTGCAGGTGCTCATCTGTGTCAGTTACTTGATTTAGTCCCTCCCATCCCTCACGTTACGCATCACTCCAAGGCTTACTCTCTCTGTGAGCACCATATGAAACGTTCGCCATGGATTTCAATTTCGAAGCTGGTATCTT